AAGTTGACCCACAGAAATAAGACTGGTAGTTAATTGAGGAATAAAGAAGGTTTTTGGGAGATGAAAGGAAGATGATTGAGAGGTAGAAAGAAATAAATCATCACAACCAGCAATATTTAATGACTCACCACTAGCAGTAATAATCCGGTCATTAGAAGGGTAGGGTTTAGGAGTCTGACCAAAGGAGGCCCCAATCATATGATTTGAGGCTCCAGAATCTATAATCCACATATGGCTAGGAGAGGAGCAAGTGGTAGAAGACTTACTAGACAGGCCGATAGTAGAGAAGGCAGATGAAATAGCTGAAGACACAAGCTGTCATATCTTATCCTCAGTCAGAGTACTAGAAGGCTCCCCCTTTGAGTCTGAGTTGGAGGAGACAGTAATGTCAGATGAAGGCTCTGTAACTATCTAAAGTGCCTTGTATTGACCCTTCTTGCGAGGTTGAGTAAGGCATTCAGTAATGATGTGACCCTATTGTTTGTAGTAGGTACAAAAATTCCTTTTCTTGCAGTGAGAGGCCACATGTCCGAACTCCTTGCACTCATAGCACTGCATCTTGGAGAAGTCCTTTTTGCCCTTTGGCTTGGTAGCTAGAAAAACTATATCATGTCCATGTTCTTCCTTGCTGTCAAGGGAGGACTGAGTGTATAGTCTAGTCTCCTCCCTTAATAGTTCACCCAATATGGTGTCCAAGTCAGGCACATTTTCCCTGCTGAGTATGTTGGATCTTATCAACTCATAGTCGGGTCTAAGGTGCATAAGAAAGTGCATGATCTTCCTTTGATCGAAATGCCTTTTCATAGTTGTCACACAACAATCAGTCGTTGTGGCCCCAAGATGAACAAGTTCATATTCTGTCCACAGATTAACAAAACCAGCATAATATTCCTGTATTCTTCTCTCCCCTTGGGTGTATGAGAATATGTCCATTTCAATCTAATATTGTCTGGACATATTTGACTGCTGATACACCTTCTCAAGGTAGTCATACATCTCCTTAGCAGTTTTCAGGCCTCTCATAGGAATAGCTACATCGACAATGACCGAACTTAATATCTAGGAAACTATTTGGGCATTACTGAATTTCCACTGCTTCAGCCCTTTAGCATCTGTAACATCAGGAATGGTTGTGGTACCATCCAGATAGCCCCACATACCCTTCCCTTCGACAAAAAATTGGAAACGGAATTTCCAGAGAGCATAGTTTGTTCTATCGAATTAAACAGATATGACGCCACTCCTTTCAGATCCCATATTCAGTCAAGAAACCAAAGGAAGACTATAGAAAAGATGATAACAATCACTAGAAGTTAAGAGGAATACCTTGAGAAGGAGATAATAATCATTGGGAATCAGACCCTTAGAGTAAGAAAACGAAGTATGAAACCTCAGTCCAAAAATCAACAGTCCAAAAAAAGAAACTGTAAGTAGCAGCCGCCCAAGGAAGAGGATCAAAACCCCTTCAAAACTTCACCAAATCAAGGGATATTTGTACAGCAGATAGATCTGGTCTAGGCAACACCAGACCTGAAGTTTGGCCCTGATCTGAGATCTCCCAGGAGAGATCTAGTGAAATCTCTCCTGCAAAGTTCGAACTTTGTCTATACAGCAGGTAGGGTTGATAAAAAACAACCCTATACACTCCACCAGTTGAAGGGTTCAGTAGATCTTAGTAGAGAGATGAGATTACAACCCACAGAAAGTGATAAAGAAGCAAGAATTAGATCAGAGAGCAACCTGATCTGATTTGTTTATTTTCTCCTTCACCTTGCTCCTTTACTCCACTATTCTAAATTCTTCCCTCTCCAATTCTTCCCCTTGCTCCTTTCTACATTACCAACATCCATTGATTTGTTTATTTTCTCCTTCACCTTGCTCCTTTACTCCACTATTCTAAATTCTTCCCTCTCCAATTCTTCCCCTCCTATGAAGTATAAACTGAAATTTTTGCTGATCTCCACTTCTGTGTCTACTACTTTCTCAATATCAATAAATTTCTCAACTTGATAAGTCTCAGCAATGATTGCCTCATCCAAACTTTCTTTTCCTGAATCTGATTCAAACTCCTCATCTTTGTTCCCTATAAGAGGAAATGTTCTAATTTTTTTTCCGCTTGTATGCTCTTACCACATCCCACCTTCTGCCCCCTTTAGCCTCTCACCTAGCTTCCTCAACCCTTTTAACTCGCTCCCCTTCTTTATTATCTTCCACCCCCCCCCCCGGGATCACCTTCCACTCCTACCTTCCCCACACATTCTTTCATAACCATCATTTCCTTCCCCCTTTCACTCCCAACAATATCTTCCTCAGAATGAACTCCTTGAATGTTCACTTCCTCTCCCTCTTCTCTAGCTTTCTTCCTGATGATACTATGCTTAAAGTCTCCTCCTCCACCATGACTATTTCCTCTCCCCCTTCTTCGCCCAACCTTTCCAACTCTTCTTCCCTTTAGAAACCAACTTAATTTCTTTTCCATTTTCATTGCCTATCTGTCATAGATCACTGACTTCAGATAAAGTTTGTATGTCACCCTCATCTTCAATTACTGTATTGTCACTCCTATAGCTCTTCTTTGATACTATCAAAATTTCCTCTCCAAGACAATCATCTACACTTTTCTTCCTTGAGGAAAAACCAATATCTTTGTTCCTCACAGTTAGAGGCGTCTCCTTGTTTTTATAAAAGAATTTCACCATTCTCCACACAAAACCCTCAGCATCACATGAGAGAGACTTAGAGACCTTCCTATCAATACACCAACTGTGTTCTCAGTACAGACCGTCATCTTCTAATGAAACATTCAAGTTCCTACCTGAACCCTCTATTGAATAGTCCAAAATCCTTTGCCACCTTGGTCTTTCTACACATGTACAGTACCATTAATGCCACTTGTTAATGCCTAGGTAAACGAACAGTTATGTCCCGACCTTCCTTCTTTTCCTAGTCCTGAAATTTCTTCTCCTCTTCTCTTGTCCTTTTCCTCTACCCAGTTTATGTTCACCCAATCTTGTGAAACTTCCCTTCTCATCTGAAATACCCAATCATTTCTTGCCACATAAATTTTCTTCTTCAACCCCTTCGTCTTCCTCCCGCCGTGCATCCTTCAGTAGAGAAGCTTCAACAAACATAGTCAACTAGGCTGAGTAGAACATCTAATCTAGAAAAACCTCAATTTTCCTTGGAATCTCCTCCAGTTTAACCCTGCTGACGCAGATGGCAGCAGAATGGAGATCACTCGCAAGCACACCCTACATTGCAAATTGATACAACTGATTTGAAAACTTATTCCTTCTACAAATGAAAAGGAAGAATCCCAGGATGCACACAATAGCATCGTCTTCTACCTCCAATCTCCTCTCATTAGAAAGTGCACAATGATAAGTTCATTGTTAGAAACCTGGAGTTACCTCCAATGATAAGATAACAGAATCTTCTAAGGTCCTAGACCTCTCCATTTGTTAGAAACCTGGAGTGACATTCAATGATAAGTTAATAAAGACCAAAATTCTAAAAACTGGCTGTTATTTGTTTAACAGATATCCATGCATTTCACAAGCTTCACTAGCCACTAAATGTTAATCATCATTTAATATATCAAATGTGGTTCAATTAATTACATATAAATGGAGCCATAAAGGAACACATTTGATATATCTGAAGTTTTATTTTACCAAAAAGAAAACTACAGGTGTACATGTGCATCAGATATTAGCATACCCAATGTTCAGAAAAGCAGTGGTCCCTGCTACCCATAAAGCACTAGTTATAATTCAAAATAATTGTACTGAGTCTCAATCAGGCAGCAATAGAATTGAGGGCATAATTGGGTTCAATTCTATAGCAGAGAGGAATTTGAAAGCTAATGGATTTTAAGCCTTTACTTTAGTGTTTTTCGAGATTTCAGAACATACCCAGCCACCAAGGGGGAGGGGGGAGTCACCTGAACCACACACAATGTTGTAGTCAAGGCATAGAGAGGGATTCAATTCTGTCTACACTCCCAAGATCCAAACACAGCCTAAGCATCATTATTTTGCTTAAAGATGTTCCAGTTTTAGTTTCTCAAGACCTATCCAGTGTCAAAACTAGCCCTTTCACATTGCCAGTTTAGATTGCATTAAAAATTTCTCAGCTAACCCAATGAGAAGAGGAAAATTTTAAAGAAACCTTTTAAATTTAAAGGGCCACTACTTATACATGGAAAACACATTGTATGTCCACATGTAACCAACCTCTGTTTGAAATTGCTACTTCCAGAAAACCAATGTCTAAAGTAAGACTAAGATACTGCTAATTGCTATTGCAAAAGCTACCACAATTTCCTTTGATTCACTCATACAATACGTAATTATTGTGTCAAAGCATGAATTTTTCTCAAGCTAACATTAGATATGCATTTTATCTCATAGACTCTATTTTTCATAACAGATTATATTTTCACTTTCATTATTTTCTCTCCTTTGAATTGTCCATTACACATTCTCTACTCTATCATCAATCTGTAAATGGATTTGATTAAACAATAATGTTAATCATTTTTTACAATGGAGTACTTTTGTGAGGAAAACTGGAGATTATGCAGATAAGGGTATTTTCTAGAAAAAAAAAAAAAAAACAGACAGCCATCAAGAAAAGAATGACAGCTACCATAAAAGTGATTTCAGTATTTCTTCTTCCACACTATATTTTGTTTAATTAGAACATATCAAATCAAATGTTCCACCGAACTATGTAAGCATGAAGAGTAGAAGAAAGTGGAGAAGCATCAATCTAGCCATTGAGTCATCTAACCACAATTTTGTGCGCATCTAGAGGATTCTAGATGCTTTACAAATCATATAACCTAGAAGACCCTTGGGGATCTCAACCAGATTTCTGGAGGTAGAATTATATCACAAAGAACAAAATATAGACCATGCAAATTAAAAAGAAAACAATGATAAGACATACATAAAACCTGAGCAAAAAAGCAATAGATTCAGGGAAAATTATCAAACCTGAAGTTAAAGAATTTGGTTATGGGAATCTTTTCAGATATAAGTTATACATCACGATGTATTGCCACAAATGCAAACTTCCACCTTGGGTCAGGGGGCTAAACTGCTAAAGGTTTTAATGCCAAACTTTACATGGTACATGTTTCCTGGAGCATTGTAAAACTGGACCAGAATAATGAGCTCAGTAAAAAGAAATTGGCGACAATAGTGGCATGTGATAAAGAAAACAGTGTGCAATCATTTTAAGCCTTTCCATAGTGTAACAATTAAATGCCAAAGAAAACGATTTGAAATTTGAATACATGGGATTTCATATCCATGAAAGAAGCTAAAAGATCAGGCAAATAAAAATAATAACAATGATGAGGAGGAGGAGGAGACTTATTTGGGTGCATCCTTTTCAATAAATTGGGTGCCAACAAAAAGAAAGAAGATACCCCTTGCAATAGTGTAGACATTTCAGGTAGTTTACTAGAGAAACCTTCACCGACTCATTAGAGATATCCCTATTTAACAGGTTCAAATATCAATTAATTGATAAACAACTAGAGAATGACTCCCCATACTAAGTATGGGACCAGTATTTTGATTTTTTTTATTTATGTATTCTAATAATTTTGTTTGGCACCCATTTTATATGTTGTAAATTTAGGTTATTATTTTATTTGATTTTTATGTAAATATTTGTTATTTAATTTAAGAGGTTAAATCAAGTTTTATTTCTAAGTAATACCCCGTTTTATGGATCCTACATCATTTGAAATGAGTTTTTGTTTTTGTTCTTTTTTTCTTTTTAGTGGAGGTAACTACCACTAACTTTTTTTGAGAATAAAGGTAACTACCATTTGAGTGGGTAGACATATGTCTGAGGAAGGAATAACAACTTTTGAGATGCTCTTTCTTGAGAAAAATAAGATGCCACTTGTCCGAGGGAGAATCTCTCTAGTCTGAGGATATATTAATGGGGGGCTTGTCAAGAATTACTCCAGGCAAGAATATGAGACACAGCCTTTCTTTTTAGCAAGTCAAAACCTCAAACGTTTCAATATTGACTTCCGATAGGGCCTCAAAGCATCTATGCTAACAGCCTTCAAAAGCATATGATTATAGGAAAATTGTGTCAAAAGACATTTGCACCAATTATAGAGATATAGAGAACTTAAACAATACCCTATTTTCAGAGGGATGACAAAATGCTTATAATATTGATCTTTTGGTATTTTAATTCTTCCCACTAACACAGTCTTAGATCTAAATTGTGGAAGACAAAAAAAATGTAAGCTCCATTTCTTTCTAGTTTCTGCATAAGATTGCTTGCAGAAAATTGGAGCATGTATCATTTCTAGAAAATGGGCATTTTTACCAAAAAAAAAAAAAAAAGTAATTTTCTTCTTAGTCATTCTCATGCACAAATGGTTGCAAAACCCTTTTTCCAAAAGTAAGGCCTAACTTCAGAAAATGTTTTGCCATCCTATGTGTATGCCCATATTCTACACACTAACGAGAGGGACTATATTTATGTTTTATTTCAGGGATGTTTCTCAATAAACGAAAGGCAAAGAAAATGCCCTATGCTGAAATGGGTTTCTTCAACTGTGTCCCATTTTCACCAAGTCTCATGACTCTCATCTAACTCCCTATTTAATATTCATAAATGCCTCAACAAAAAACTGGAACTTAAGTCATTAAAACCAGAACCTTGAAGCTAAGGGACTGGAACTCAATGCATTATAAGCTAAATACATAGTGCCTCAGCATGGAGAGACCTCTCGAAATTATGACCAATATGGAACCGTTAATTTCTTTCCAAAACCAGAGAAAGAGTTCAAGCGAACTGAATTTATGTTGTAAAACTCAACGTTATGGAGTGGGTTCTTATCTGGTCAAACCCGACTCCATTTTTTATTCGTGGAGACTGCATAATCAGCTAAATCCATCAAACCCAGCCAATTTCTGTCTGAATTTCAAATTAAAAACTAACAGCCTAGGGTTTCAGCATCTTATCATCGATTCATTTTGCTTGAGGACCAGGCAAGAACAGGAGTGTTTGAAGACATCCGCACATACATACCTCTCTACAGTTGAAAGGCGCACACTTAGAATTCGAGAATATACGACCTCATATACGGAAGGCGGATGCCACTGTGATGCTTTAGTTTTCCGTTTATTGAACGAAAGGTAAGAGAATGCAGGAAGAGGGAAGGGAAGGCTTGCAGTTACACTACCAGAACTCTAGACAGAGAGTGCAGAAAGTGGCGTTTGCTTGTGCGGTCTGCAGTGAATTTACCTAGACACCCTTGCATTTTCATCTAATGATGGAATGGTCACTAATTGTAACTGAGCCGATTATGCTATAGGCTTGGTTTGTTTGTACTGCAATTTCATTTACACTGGCACAAATCATGTGAGTGCAAATGAAATGAGAGCAAATTCTGATTTACTTTTGTTTCAGTTTTTACTTTGTTTTGGCTTTATTGAAAAGGGGAAATCTGTAATGCTGGAAAGACAACGATAAAGGCTTTGACCAATAAAACCCTCCTGTCAATTCTCATTAAAACCGTCTTGATTGGTTGCCACTTGCATGATATCGGCTTTTGAAAAGGTTTTACTTTGCTTTGGTTGTTTGTATTCCAAGTGAAATAAAGAATAATCTGAAACAAAGTAAGGTAAAATACAAAACAAGGATGAATCAGAATTTGCACTATTCTCAATTGCACATTTGCACTCCACTGGATTTATAATAGTGCAAATGAATTTCCACGGCAAACAGAAAACACAACCCTTAACATGCTTGGTAGAAATATATGCAGAATAAGCTTGTAAAGTATTATTAGGGGTTCGATTGGACTGTATTTAGTCCAATCTGATCCAGTACAATGTGAGTCCATTACAAATGGACCATGTCCAATCCAATCCAATGAATAATTTAGACCATTTTGGATCAGTCCAATTCAATATTTGGACCATTCAATTTGTTTAAATTCATTTTAATTTAGATTGGTTTCAACTCAAACCCAGTCTATTGACACCTATATTCTTATCTTATATCAATAGACCGGATATTGGCTTAATCCAACCAAATCCAATATATATTTATTATGGACGGACCAGGTCTAGTCCAATCTAATAAATATTTTGGATTGAATTGGTCCAATCCACTGTCTTTTTGGTCCATCCAATCTGTCCAAATTGACCGGTCCATTGACACCCTTAAGTATTATTTTTAAAATTATTTAGGGATGATTACTTATATATATACACTATGTATATTGGAAACTAGTTAAATGTATCCTATACTTTTTAAAAGGTAATTATATGTACCATATTCACCTTCCAAATGTTAAGTCTAACCGATAAATGTAAAAAACAAAAGTATCATTAATTATTCATGAATTTTTCATGATATGCTCTTTCTTCTTCTTCTTCTTCTTCCTCCATTCTTTCCTTCAATGTTGTAAACACCATTGATATTTTTTACTTCACTAACTTCATTTTGACACCATAATTGCCTTCCATTTCATCAATGCTCACCGATCTCTTCGTCTCTTACACTCAATGCTCCTTCAAGCCAGTCAAATCCCTAGACCCCATGTTTTCATCTACAACTCTCTCGTTAGAGCCTTCCGTCACACCCATTTACTAGAGCTATCAACGGGCTAGGTTTGTGCCGAAGTCTAAGTAGAACTAGTCCCAAACTGATTATTAATCAAGCAAAATCAAAGACCCAGAACTGTCTTAGCTAATAGTCGGGTCTATTGGGTCTCGTGCTTGGATCCAATTATACTGCAAAAGTATATTTGTTTTTTTGCATAAGAACTTATATTTTAAATTTTGATAATACAACCTTAATAAAAATGATAAAAAAAATACTAAATTATTTATATGTTAATAAATTAAACATTTTTAACTAGTACTATCTTATTTATTATTTATCAAACTTACCATTTTAAACATAAAACATGATAAAAACTATAAGAAAACTATGAAAATATTAAGATAAATTACAGATAAGCACCTTGTACTTTGGAGGTAGTGATAGATAAGTACCCTAAACTTTCAAAAATAGACACTCGGGTCCATCCTATAGTATTCCGTTAGTTAAACATTACATAATGTCAAAACTACCCTTCTCATGTATTTTTGAGATCATTCTCCGGAGTAAAATCATCACCAGAGAATGTCATCATCAAAAATTTTGAATATATTATCTGTTGTCCATGTGAGAACGTCATTGTGGGGAGACGTTTGGTTACTTGAGAATGACCTAAAAAATACATGAGAAGGGTATTTTTGACATTATGTAATGTTTAACTGATGGAATACTAACGAATGAAACTAAGTGTCTATTTTTGAGAGTTCAAGGTACTCAAGTATTGCAATTGAAAGTTCAGGGTACCTATCTATCACTACCCCCAAAGTACAGGGTGCTCATTTGTAATTTACCCAAAATATTATATATTTAATAAAATAAGTAGTTCTTGGTTTGAATCAGTTTGGGATAGGTAAGAACAAGAACCAAACCAATTATTAATCGGGACAAAATCATGGAACCAGAATTCTTATAATCAACTCAATTGGTTAAGGTCCATTGATAGCTAGTCCTACACCCATCCACCTAAACTTCCATTTTTTGTTTATGCATATGTGTTAAGAGCATATATTTCTCCTAATAACTGCACCATTTTGAAATCCATGTATGACCTCAAACACCTCAAACAAGGACAAGCTATCCATACCCAAATCAAGGAACCCTATGAAAAAAGCATTAACCCCATAAAGCTAAATCTAGTGTTTAACGAAGAAAGAAGATAAACTAAGAAGGATGACTAGTTTTGATGAAGTACAAGGTTGGATTGCCATCACTTTTACTTATTTCTAATATTTCAGCTTTCAATCATTGTATAGCTTTAGAAGATTCAAGAGGGTTTGTGGAATCTAAGTCAATGGTATCTGAGATAATTTCCAAAATAAAAAATGAACTTATAATTTTTGAACCTCCATTGCAGAAGCAATTTAGGAAACTAGGTACGAAATAAGATCTAGAGAAAAATGGTTTCAGATGAAGAAGATGATCCCAACATTTTGAATTAGGGGCAAATTTGGTATTATGAAAAACTTTGGAGTGAGTTGTTAATGGTTCTATATGGTGCAATGGCAGGGGTCCTATTTATGCTATGTGAGGCAAGTTAACAAGGCACATATAAGTTGTTTTTAAAAGTTCTAGGTGTAAGAGGTGGTACACAATCTGACCAACCCAAACCCGGGTCAAGTCGATTCATTTTACTAAAATATTGAATATTCCAGCACAACAACAACATTAATAACTAAATGATGAATATTCTAGAAACCAAGAGAGAATTTTTTAATAATAATATGTATAATAAATGAGCATTTTAGAAATAAATACAGCTAAGTCTATTCAATAATGGAATAAATAAACATGTGATTTAAATGACAAAAGGGTAAACAAGAGAATGACAATTAACAATACGATTCCAAAAAGACATTTAACCACGTGATTTAAATGTGCAAAAGGAATATTCTAGAATGAAAGGGTAAAATGGAAAAAGAACAAACTTAAGAAACACGTACACCCAAAACCTATAAATAGGTGCTTCCCAGCAATTTCAAGGGGCCTCAGAACCATTCTTGCCCCACCACTTTGATGTCAACACATTCGCTCTCTCTCTCTCTCTCTCTCTATCAACCTCCACCATTTTCTCCTTCTTTCACCAAAATTGAATCAAGTTTAATATTCAAATTAATTTACATAGGATTTTGAAGCCTCCCTAATGATGATTTTGATTTAATGAGTGTGGCTACCTGACTCAGAGGGAGGACGGAATATGAGTGGAGTTGGAGTTGCCACCTAAATTTTAGGGAATTGAGAATTTAGGAAAATCCGAGATTTTTCAAGAAAAAAATTTGTTTTATTGGTGACTCATTGGCTCAAGTGGAATAAATGTTCTTAGGGTATAAGGGCCAAGGTACAATGCAGAAAGGTGTTAAGCACCCTACATGCGCCCAGTTAAATCGGCCTCTACTTCACCAACGTTCCAAGGAATGCTTTTTTTTTTTTTAGGCTATCCATGCTTGATTAATAAAATAACAATTAAAGTTGCAATTTAACAATCAACACTAGAAATTAAACTAAGGAAAAAGAAGCAATGACAATGGAAAATGGCTAAGCAATTAACTAAAGAAGCAAAACAAAACAAAAATTATCTATATATGAATTGATTAAAAAAGCTACTTACCAATAATTGAAGAATCTAAAAAAGCAAATGCTAAATGGTATGTTGACATGAAAAGGGGTTGCGACTGAATGTGTATTTACGTGAAAATGATACAAACTAAATGCAAGAACCGAGATGTGTAAGATTTGAATGATAAATATGAACTTTTGAAATGCATGACCAGCTAAGAAGAAAGGAGAGTGAAAAACTAATTTAATGCATGATCAATTAAAAAGAAATAATTTACCTAAGAATGTGAATGTTAGTGATGTTTGACTAGATGAGTGTCATTATGAATTGATCAATATCCTAGAAATGAGATGCTAAATTCTAGAGTAGTGGGTCCGACTAAAGCATTCAATTGCAATATGCAAGATGGCTAAAAGGAACATACGACATCTAAAATTCTTTTATTTGGATGTTAAATGCTTTCCTAGATAAGAAGTTAATGACAAGAGCATAAAGATTGTAATGTGAAGTAAAAAAAAATAAAAATAAAAAATAAAAAAAAAACTAAGAGAAATAATTGGAATAACCCAAGAGGATGGTCTGACCCGGTTAATGCTAGCAACTATTCATTACTTCTAATACTAATGGGCTGAGCTTGAAATATGAAGTGTGAAATGCAGCTCTTCCTATCACTTCAATGCAAACCTATGAATTAATGCATGAATTTAAATTTGCTCTTTAGGCTCAGTTTGGAAGGAGTATAAATACAAATTTGTAGAGTACAAAACCTAACATTTTATATTATTTTGTATGTATTTGTACTCCTTCCAAACTGAGCATTAGGAAAAATAATTAAAAAAAAAAGTTGAGGAAAAACTAAAACAAGTATGAAATGTAACCCTATTAACTATTGCATTATCAATTCTAAAAATTCTAACTAAACATATGAACTTAAGCATAAATAGATGAAGCGAAAAAAAGGCAATGTAGTAAGACAAGACGGATCGATTACTAAGTAAAAAAAATTAAAAAAAAGGTAATGCTAATCATATGTCTATTGAAAACAATATTTTATCTTTCGGATGGTTGGTAGGCCAATTCTACTTAGAATACTTAAAATGGAGAAAAGAAATGGAGGCTTTGAAAATAATGAATTAAGGGGAGACATGCTAATAATAGAAAACAAGGAAAAAAAGTACGTAATTAAAGGATAAAAAAATACTTCGATTATGAAAGAAGACAGTCCTAAAATTAATAAAGGATATATAGCCACTTAAAAAGTATAGGGACGTGAACATACCTTTTGGAACTTAGATTGCTTAATCTGTAATTTGAACTTTGATTGTCGCCTCTACAAAATACCTCTTGAGAAACTCAGGCTCCTTGAGAAACCCCTTGGATTGAAGATGAATTCCCAATCATTTGGGAGGTTAAAAATATTTGCTATGTAGACCAAATGATGTAGGATTGCTGCTATATGACTGTAATTCTGTTGCACCATTGTCGTTTTAAAAATGCTTCATGTTTCATCTCTTGGATGTATGATCTGGGGGCTTCTTGGACTGTAATACTGATATAGGGACTCTAGGGACGTGAGAGATGGTTGGGAAAGGTTATTGGATGTGGATAATGGCTATGTGAAGGTTTTTGCATGGATTTCCCCCAAGGTTAGCATGTTTCTAGGCTAGAATGTATGCTCTTGTGTGTAAGGGGGGTATTCATAGATTTTTGGGAAGGATTCTAGAAGGGAATGGAGGGATGACATTGGAAAATTATGAGAGATCAATGGTTAAGGTTTAAAGCTTTTTTAGAGGGAGATTGATTGAAGGAATGGGCTATCAAAATAGCTTTGGGAGAGATCCTCCCGGTCAATCAAGATAATAAGTGGAAAATTTCATCAATTTACCTAAATTGAAATTCCAAGTTTAGGTGATTGGCTCAATTGATTGGAGGCTCCTTAGCTAGTCAAATTTTAAAATTTAAGATGGTTCTAGAGGCTGGGAGAAAGATCTGGTCATAAGGATCCCTAGGTTCGAAGTTGTAGTAAAGAGGATTCCAAATGGAGGGCCTAGATTGAGTCTAGCTTCGGGTCTCAAGATGGAGGGGTTAACGGTGTCGGAATTGGTTGGTACCGTTGGACTCGGAATTTCAAGATATTGGCATCTACAATGTTGGATTTTTTTTTTATTTCATGTGGCATATGGTTCAGGATAAAAAATGATCTCGTTCGGATGATCATAATCAGTTGGGGTCTTGAGATGAAGGGGTAAATGGTGTCGGATTTAGGTGATCTTGGTGTTATTGGATTTGGATTTTTGGGCTTTATGTATATGGTTTTGGATTTTTGATTTGACGCGAAATGAGGTTCAGGATCAAAATGACTTCGACCGGACGATCGAAATCAGTTCCACCTTTGAGTGTTAAGATGAAGGGGTAAACGGTGTCGGATTTGGGTGATCTTGGTATTGTTGGATTTAGATTTTAGGGTTGTGCATACCTATGGTTTTGGATTTCTAATTTGACATGAAATGAAGTTCATGATCAAAATGACTCCAACCGGACAATCAGAATTTGTTCTAGCTTTAGGTCTTAAGATGAAGGGGTAAACGGTGTCGGGTTTGGGTGATCTTGGTGTCATCGAATTTGGATTTTTGGGATCTATATATCTATGGTTTTGGATTTCTGATTTGACATAAAATGAGGTTCAATATCAAAATAACTTTGATTGGACGATTGGATTTGACATAAATGTCATTGGATTCATATTTTTGGGCTCTACATACCTATGGTCTTGGATCCTTGAGGCCCCAACTTTTGTAAAATTTCAAAAATGCTCATGAGTCGATAAGAGGTTAGTTGAAGTATGCTTGAGGCTCAAAGTGTTGTAAAAAGACTAAATAGCACAAAAATGGGGTGTTTACATTGAGCAAGTTTACAACAGATGGACAAGATTTTTTTTACCTCATATAATGAGGTCTATGACAGTCACAAGGTGGGATTACTATGGATGCTATCTTATCATTGACAATCACAAGGGATGATAAGTGTGTCCATGGATATATCAAGCATATTTTCTTTAAGTGTTATCAAATTTATTTCCTAGATCAATTATCAAACATTTTTTTCTAAAATTTTAGATTTTATGTAGTAATGGATGAAAAAAATAAGATTTGGGGTTTCCATGCTATTTCATTATGGTAACCTTACTTGCTTTGTTTTAATTTAACCTTATGTCTTTTGTTTCTTTAAATGATATTTTGTAATTTATTTATTTACTTTTTACCCTTAAAGATAAACTATTCCCATTCATATGTGGAGGTACCATGAGAAATCTCTTTGAAATTTGAAAGTAGGTTCACTAGAAAGCTTGAATTCGAGCTCGAATAAGTTCGGTTCATTGTCAAGCTCGAGATGAATTGAGCTCGAACATATGAATTTTTCATTTGAGCCGAATTTGATCTTACATATCCAATTCGAATCGAGTTTGAGCCCGAACTCGATCATGGTATTTTTTATTTTTCTACCGAGCTAAGCTCGAATACTCAAATATTCGGCTTGACTTGGCTCAAATCCACCGCTAGTGAAATAGAACCATTTGCCTAGACAATTCCTGGACTGAACGATCCGACCACCTAAGTCAACGATGGTTCGAAAACACTATGATAAACAACCCTTTTCAAGAAAAATTAGAATGTCGCATTTTTTTTGTGTTTCTAAATAAATGAGCATCCAAACTTGGTAGATTTTCTTCTAAAAAAATTGGAAGCTAACCAGTTCACCAATGAGTGTAGCCCTCTAAGGTTTCCATATTTTCTCTTTTAAACTTTCAAGGATCTTGATCTCACAACCATTTTGTGCATCATCTTGTGGCTGTTGGATCCTTCATTGTCCTCCACAATAGCACATCAATAGTGGATTTGCTAGAACCCCTCTTATCACCAAATGTTTCATTAATAGGTTCTTCATGGTTTTGATCCATCTCCTTCACCTTTGTATCTAATCCATAGTCATTACCCAACTAGGTATGTTCGTTTACTCTTAATACCTCTTATCTCTTATCACTTAATCACTTTAAGAGATGTTAAGAGCTTTTGATTCTCATTTTATTCCAGACTTAATGTATGTACAGTAGCAATAATTCTCACTTCAACAACAACAATAATAATAATACAAGAAATAATAAAATAAAAAATAAAATGTTTATAATGAAGTAGTTTTAAAAATTATCATTTAAATAGTTAATACTAATTATATAATTATTAATGAAATAATAGTTAGAAATTATTATTATTATTTTATTGTTAGGTTATTACATAATCATTAATTAAAGGTTAAAATGATCAATTGTCATTTTTTAGAACTCAAAATTCAAATTTCAGAACATAATTCTTTACATTCAAACTTCAAAACCAAGAAAAGTTCACCAACTCCAATACACTTCTAAAAATAATTATTATAGTTTTAAAAGCATTTAAACTTCAGACTCGAACAAGGGGCTCGAAGGTAAAAATACAACTTTAAATACTCTATTTTTATTTGTTGTTCACAAAGTTTGTATTGTTTTTATCATAGAAACCAACCTTAATAGTAATTGATTAATTGTATGAGTAGTTTGGACATTTTTATGCCTCTTAAATTTTAACAAAGAGGTCTACTTGTAAATGTGTAAAAAAATTTAGGGAAAGTGATTACAATTACCAAAATTAAGAGAGGTTTCAACAATGGTGAAAACTTCGGGAGAGGTTTCAGCAACTTACCCAAATAGTAATTGAGACAATTACCTCACAGTAACGCCTCACTTTGTCATTAATTCACTTATTTTCAAGGTTTCTAACCCACGTAACCGACCTGATCAGGATCGGGTAAATCTTAACCCGATCCAACCCGGCCCTAGTTGGTACCTACCCGGATACCCGGATCGAAACCGGTGAACGGTTGAAGCAGTTACAGTTGATCGGAGTCATCGGACATGGCCGGTTTCCGATAATGTACCCCTTCATAGCATCCAACTTCTCACTTCCATTTCATATAATTCTTGAGAGTCAAGTAGCTTCTCAGCTGCGATTTGAAACTTCAAAGTGAAGGATGGATAATGAATTGAGGTATGAGATCGGACAGAGCGCTTACATCAAGCTCGTGCTACATGCCCTAAAGCACAAGACCTCCGCCGTTAATGGCGTTCTCCTCGGTCGTTTCATTAACGATGGCCTCGTTGAAATTTCCGATTCAGTTTCTCTCTCTCACTCATATCGGTCTTCTTCCAGCTCTCGAAGTCGCTCTACTTCAGGTCAGATGACTGTTCTCTACTCACTTGTCTCTCCTTTCTCTAGTTCTCCATCTAGGGTTTATGATTCAGTAAGTTAATCGATGTGCTTGCTTGATTATCAGATAGAGGAGCATTTTGGTGAGCAAGGGTTGAGTGTTGTGGGCTATTATCACGCGAACGAGAGATACGATGATCTCGAGCTGGGAAACGCAGCCAAGAAGATCTCCGATCACATTTGTCGCTACTTTCCCCAGGCTGCCATACTTTTGGTAGGTCCCACTGTGCATTTCTGCCTCAGTGCTTCTGCGTTGGTTTTGGGAATTTTGATCTACTTGGGTTTGATTAGTAGTTGCCAGTTTGTTCCTTGTTGATTTTTATTTTCATTTTTGCAGTTGGATAACAAAAAACTTGAGACAGTACCAAGGGGGGAGATCGGAATCCTGTTGTGCAAGTTAGTTTTATTTATTTATTTTTTCTCTTTCTTTTCCCACTTCTGGTGCCCTTGTTTTCTAGCAAACATATAGACTGCACTGTGCACCTACTTTTTTAATTACTTAGAGATCAACTACTTCTGATGTTTTTGTTTCATATTCTACAAAGTTGGCTTCAGGCAGCATTTTATGAAGTTTCTGTGTAACTTAATACGCATGTTATATGGAGTTGAAGGTCCTTTCTAGATAGCATTTGCATGGGAAAATTGTTGCCTTCACCTTGTAAAGGCATTTATACAATCAAGTAATCAACTTTAATAATTATTGACTTATGATGATCTTTTATACTTACCCCAATTTGTGCTTAAGTTTCTATTCCTTTTGAATGAATCTTACTTTAAGTCATAATAATGCTTTACTTGCCAAGGCAGAGTCAGTTATAATCTTATAGTTGGGATGGCGAAACAAGATTCATGTTGTTGAACCCATGTAGTTGGGATAAGACTAATGATGATGATGATAATGGCCATGCTTTGTTGAATCAATGGTTCTTATTGAAGTATAACAATGAAGGTGGGAAGTATGGAGTCATCATAGTATCTTGAAGGAGGAGGCATTTTCATTAGTCAAATTGATAGTCTACCAACATACTACCTATCCCTTTCAACAGTTCCCAAAGAAGTGGCTTTGAAAATTGAGAAAATCCAGAGGGACTTTTTATGGGCCAAAATCAAAATTCTCAGATCCGACAATGCAAAGAAATACTTTGCTAAGCCATTAACTTCTTACCTCCTTAATCATGGAATTATTCACCAGAGCACTTGTCCTCATACACCACAGCAGAATGGGGTTGCTGAAAGGAAGAATAGGCACATCTTGGAGGTGGCTAGAAGCATTATGTTTCCTCCAATGTACCTATTCGCTTCTGGGGTGATGCTATCCTCACGGTAGTATATCTCATTAATCGGGTTCCTTCCCGGGTCCTTGATATGAAACCCCCTTTTACACTTCTATACCCAGACGAGGAGTTGTTTACTGTTCTTCTTGAAACCTTTGGTTGTAGTTGCTTCGTTCAGCTTATCGGGCCCCATCATTCCAAGTTTGACCCTAAGGCCTCCAAATGCATTTTCCTCGGTTATGCACAAACTCAAAAGGGTTATTGCTGCTATGATCCTGTTTCCGGGAGGAAGTTTGTCTCCATGGATGTCACCTTCTTTGAGGAGACACCCTATTATCCTAGGGTTTCTCCTCAGGAGGAGAGCAGTGAGAGTGGGGATTTGGGTCTTTTTCCTCAGGGGGAGCGCAGTGAGAGTGGGGTTAACACATCTGAGGATGTTCCTTTACCTATTCCATTGGGTGATGAAGGTTGTAATGGTGATGGCTATAATGGTGAGGGTGGTCAAAGGGATCAGGAGTTGAAAGTCTATCACAGGCGATGCAGGCAGGTTGATCCCGGTCATCGGCAGTCCAGGCCAGCTTCAGTTCCTTCTACGGCTCCAGATTCAGGTATTACAGTCCCAGGGCCCACTGAGACACCTTCCACTCTTGCCACTTCCTCTCCTGCAGATGACCTTGACCTCCTTATTGCCATCCGTAAAGGGAAATGACATTGCACCACATCTACAGCTCACTGCATTTCCTAGTTTTTATCCTATGATCGCCTATCTCCCTCTTACAGGTCCTATTTCACTTCCATTGCCAATGTCCCTATTCCCAGAACAGTGCAAGAAGCCTTATCAGTTCTAGAGTGAAAAGATGCAATGCAAGTTGAAATGGATGCCCTGTTGAAAAATAACACTTGGGAGCTAGTTGACCTACCCAAAGGAAAGAAGCCAGTTGGATGTTAGATGGATATTTACTGTGAAGCATAATGCTGATGGCTCCATTGAAAGGTACAAAGCCCGACTGGTTGCAAAGGGGTTCACCCAAACTTATGGTATAGACTACTTGGAGACCTTTGCCCCGGTAACCAACATGACCACCATCCGAGTTCTATTATTCCTTCCAGCAAGTTATTCTTGGCCCTTGTTCCAGATAGATGTTAAAAATGCTTTTCTGAATGGAGACTTACAAGAAAAGGTCTGCATGCAGTTGCCTCCTGGATTCTATGATACAGAGACAGGTAAGAAGCTTTGCCGATTGAATAAGGCATTGTATGGATTAAAGCAGTCACCTAGAGCTTGGTTTGATAGATTCAGACTAGCCCTTGGAAAATTTAGTTATGTACAGGCCCAGTCAGATCATACAATGTTCATTAAAAAGGTGGACTCCTCTTTGACCCTGCTTGCTGTATATGTGGATGATATTGTAGTGACAGGAAATAATAGTAGTGAGATCGAGTCCCTCAAACAGCTCATTCATCAAGAGTTTGAGGTGAAAGATCTTAGTGCACTACGGTACCTTTTGGGTATTGAGGTTGCTAGATCTAAACAAGAGATCTTTATATGTTCTAGATCTGTTGGCGGAAACTGGAAAGTTAGGTGTCAAGCCTGCTGATACACCCATTGAACAGAATCACAAGATCAGTGCAGAGGGCGAGGGGAGCCTCTTGAAGACAAAGTTATGTTCCAACGGTTGGTTGGAAAGCTCCTATATCTCTGTCTCACTCGGCCAGATATCAGTTATGCAGTTAGTATTGTCAGCCAGTACATGCATTCCCCTAGAACTACTCATCTTCTTGCGGCAGAGAGAATATTAGCATACTTGAAGAGATGCCCGGGTAGGGGTATACTATTCAAGAACGATAATCACATGAATCTATACAGATGCTGATTAGGCTGGGAGTGCTGATGACAAGAGGTCTACCTCTGGATATTGTGCCCTTGTGGGAGGTAACCTTGTCTCTTGGAGGAGTAAGAAACAAAGTGTTGTTTCTCGCTCTAGTGTCGAAGCTGAATACAGGTCAATGGCTAACGGAGTGGTTGAAATTCTATGGCTGAGATCACTACTTGAAGAGTTGGGTATTGATTTTGAGAAGCCCTTGATGCTGTATTGTGATAATCAGGCAACTATTAATATAGCTCACAATCCAGTGCAGCATGACAGAACTAAGCATATCGAAGTTGATCGACATTTTGTCCGAGAGAAGGTCTCATCACAAGAAGTGTGTTTCCCGTATATCACATCCAATATGCAGCTCGCAGATATCCTAACCAAGGCTGTACCAAGGAAGAAGTTAAAGGTAGACCTATCCAAGTTGAGAATGATAAAAATCTATTCCCAACTTGAGGGGGAGTGTAGAGAACACTGATGTGGGCCCCATAGCTGTGGTCCCCACTTTGTTCGTAGGACAGTATGTGCAATTATTTGTTTCAGTCATGTTAGTGTTAGTTGGTGGTTAGCTGTTATGGGCCCGAGCGTAGGATCGTGTCACGGGTCGTTCCGCCGTCAGAGCCTCGGACCTTTCCTTGCCCTTGGCCTTGCGTACAGGCCCTATTTTGACTGTCGTGGGGGGTGATTTGTCCAAGAGATCACCGAACTCTCCTTACTTCCTTTCTTGAT